CTTCCAGCCCACCTCTCACCCTGCCACCTTGCCCTGTCATTCCCCTCTCACTCTGTCACCTCACCCTGTCACACCCCTGCAACCCCACCTGTCACACCTTGTCACCTCCCTCTCACCCTGTCACCCCACCTCTCATTCTGTCATCCCCTTCCACCCCACCTGTCATCCCTCACTCCCTCTCACTCTGCCGCCCCCTCACCCTGTCACTCCCTCTCAGCCTGCCACCCCACCTGTCACCCCCTCACCCTGCCACCCATTCTCACCCAGTCACCCCACATCTCACCCTGCCACCCCACCTCTCACCCTGTCACCCTCTCACCCTGTCACCCCACCTCTTACTGTCACCCACCCTGTGACTCCCACACTGTCACCCCCTTGCCTCTCACCTCCGCCTGTCCTCTTTACGCAATGTCACTGTCCGCCCCTCACCCTGCCTCCCCTCTCACCCCACATTTGACCCTGTCACTCACCCTGCCACCCCACCTGTCACCCCCTCTCACCCTGCTACCTCACCTGTCACCCCCTCACTCTATCACCCCACCTCTTACTGTGTCACCCACCCTTTGACTCCCCACCCTGTCACTCCCCACACACCATCACCCCACCTCACACTGTCACCCACTAATACTGTCACCTCCTCTCACTCTGTCACCCCCCCTACACTATGTCACCCTCCCTCACACTAGGTCTCCCCCCTGTCTCTTCCCTTTTACTCTGTCACCCCCTCTTACTCTGTCACCCCCCTAACACTAATGTAACCCTCTCACACTGTCACCCCTTCTTACTATGCCACCCCCTCACACTATGTCACCCCCTCACACTATGTCACCCCCACACACTCTGTCACCTCTCTCCGCACACACTGTCACCCCCCTCCATACACACTATCTCTCCCTCTAAACACACGGGCACCACTCTCCGCACTCTGGCACCCTCCTGCTCTTTTTACAATCACCCTGCCACAGTTACTCCTTTACTCACCCTGTCACCCCCTGAAGGCAATCATTCTACACACTGTCATAAAACATAGCTTCGCCATGAACTTAATGCCAAAGGCCACAGGCAGTAACACAAACATACACATGCTCAGAGAAACATGCATACATATACAAAGATACTCACTGCCAGGCACACACTCTCAGGCACACACAGGTAGACAATGCAACGACGTATATAAAGACTAGTTCTCTATATCCAGTACTGCAAGCCCGCCCTTCAATATATCTACAGCTTCTTATACACACACAAGTCAACTGCTGTTTTTTTCCAATAATGGTGTTAGTGGGGGCCTCATGTATGAGTTTCGCCTAAGGCCTCGCCAAGTCTAGAGCCGCCACTGCATATTTGTGCACAATCTCCAGTTTTGTCACAGGGCACAAATAGTGTTTTCAAATGCCATATATCCCAGGGCCTTAGTCAGAAGGTAGGAGGCGGGCAAGCAGCCCCCTCCAAGAACACGTGGCGAGGTCTGTTCCACCACACTGGGCTTTCCCTGAGGTATTTACACCAGGGGGCCCATGTGAGGGTATATTAATGGTACTGTTTTGATATGGAGTAGCATGTTTCCTCTATGAGTCTGGTGGTTTCAACTTTCTGGATCCAGTGAGTTTCTTCCAAAATAGAGGAATCTATTGCTGCTGTAATTAAATGGTGGAACAGGGATGTCTTAACTTTTGGTATGTTGCTTGGGAGTAGGAGGAATAGAAAAGTTTCGGGTCTGAAGGGGATTGGGGATTCAAGGATTGTTTGAACTAACCCCGCCACCCTTAACCAAAACTTCTGTATTTCCGGGCACGTCCACCATGTTTGCCGAGCTGCTGTCAGGTTGGTTTCATCTCCAGCAGTGGTTGGTCGTGTGTGGGAACAATGATAGGAGTTTTGCAAGTTTGTAATGCCACCTCACTTGAGCTGCTAGTTTCCGAGATGAGGTGTGTATGAGCTTGAATACCCTGTGCCATTGTTCTGGTGTGAGGGAGATGTTGAGTTATTTTTCCCGACTAGATGTATAAACCGGGAGGTGATTGGGTTGAGTGGTGGAGAGTAGTGTTTACATGGTGGAGATCAGTTTCTTTTTGATCGAATGTGTGCTACATTGGTGCTCAAATGTTGTGTGAGTCTGGGGTCCCTTGTGTGTATCGTCCAGTCTGGATGAAATGAACTATTTGGTTGTATTGGAATTTTCGTAGTGCAGAATGGGTCTCGTTCGGGAGTAGAGTGTGCAGGGGTTTAACCCCGGTGTCATCTACTAGGAGATCTTTTTTTTTTTACTCT